ATAGTTATCTTTCAACCTTAGCTTATTGTTATTAACTTTCCATAAAGAAGTTTTAAATGTGTTATTTGTGGTCAAATTTATTAATTTTTAAAAAGACAAATCCATTTGGGTCTTGATGAATATTTTCCTTACCCTCAAACTACAAACAATATTTCCTAATACTCTTTTGATCAGTTATTTCTTCATTAAGTTGACTAAACCTAGTTAAACTTAATGACTAAGACTAAATTCCTACACCAATGTATTCGATTATTCAATAAATATTTGAATAACTATGGCCAATCTTTATAACTTTTCATGAGTAGTAACCCTGAAAATTATTTTAAAGCAAATCAACTGAGTGCTACCACTGCCAGTTAATGACCATCTATATCAGCTATAAGAGCCTAGCTTTAATACATACTGAAGTTTTTGACTTCATTCAATTGTCATTTAGTCTACAGATAGCATAAAAACAGAAGGGAATTTTACTTCAAGTGACTGACTCACACCTCATATTAACATGACTAGTCTGTCCTGCCCATTACATATGGCACCAGCATGTGAGTATGTGATTATTTACATACGTTCATACTGAGAGCTAGCTTGAGGTTACTAAATAGGTCTAATCCTATGGCTACTTTGTTTTGTTTTCACATTTATCTCTGCTAATAAATCGTAATTCTAAATCACTAAATAAGGAACTTATTGAATAAGGTTATTAAACTCTCCTGACAACCTGGTCATAGCAAACAGTAAGGACCCACGTTTCCTCTTTTGTCATTTCACAAATCTGGAAGGGATGACAGAGTTAGAGCAGGTTTAAAATGGCCACTGGGGAGCCAAATGATAAAACTCAGTTTTACATTTTTTTTTTTGGTGTATCAGAGTTTCTCTTTTTATGGTTGTCCAATAAAGTGATCATATATAGATGTTCAAATGTTCCCCTAACAAACAAATATAGACCTAAATGGGGTCACCTCACTCCCTTGTTTCTCTCTACCTAACATCAAGACTGTTCTCTGCAAAAGTAAAGAGCTCTGCAGCTTTCTCTACCCTTCTGACCACTCACACAGGCACAAACCTTGAGTTCACCTTAGGTTCTTTCTCTCAAATGACACATTGGCATCAAACAGATATAAATCCATTGCTGGTATGCTTTAATCGGATGCACAACACATATACAAACTTCTTTTTCTTCAAATACTTTTTTAACCATGACCAGTGCAAGTGCTCCCAACTCTCAACACCTGTTCTTATAGCATCCATCTACAACAAATATTTATACATACAACATGGATGCCTATACAACATCCATTACACACGTTGTATAGGCATCCATCCAACATTTACACACTGTTGTATAGGCATCTACAACAAACATTTACACACTGCCTATTATTTGTCAACCACTAGGAATAGAGCAGTGGTTAAGAAAGACAAAGACTCTGCTCTTGTACACAGCATCCACCACTGACAACTTTAGACAGAGCTCAGCTATACTATTAGTGCTTAACACCAACAGGCCAACCTGATTTGAACCATCAGTGCTTAATATAAATTATTTAATTGTTAAGAAAAACCTAAACAAGTAAAATCACTAAGTTGATGAGAAGAGTCAATAGAAAGCTTAATTTAAATAACATGGATGTCCCCGTTGAGGAAAAAAAAAATATATGTCAAATAGACACTTCAGAAACACGAAGAACAATCTAAATGAACAATCTAAACAGACTAAATGGAAAACAACCTGTAAAGATTACAGTTGCTATAAAACTTATCTAAGGATGTAACAGTCTTCAATTAACATACAAGGAGAAGTACTTGGAAAGGCTGCACAATTTCCCCTATATAAACAGATAATTCCATGGTAGGTAACCGAGTTTCTTCCTACAAGTTTAAGAATACTACATATAAATTAGGCACATAATGCTTGTGATTAGCAAACACACTTCGTGAAATTTAAACTCGAATCTACTCTGTCAGAAATTTTACATTACGAGCATCCGAACTGACATAGATGTGCTGTATGTTAGTCTTTCATTATATTTGGTTTTGAGGAAAGAACAGGGTTGTGGAGAAGCTGCCTCTAACACTACATGTTTGAACTGGGGTAATGTTTAGGCTCTTCATTTCTAAGACAGAGATATTACCACCTTCCCTCACAGTGTTGTTTTAAGGAATAAACTAAAATGAACATAAGACAATTAGCATCAAACTGCATAGGGAAGGGTTAGAAGATGAATAAAGTATGAAATACAGTAAAACATAATGTTGAGCCCTAAAGGGGATATAATCTAATTGAAAAAACTGAAATTACAATGTTTAAGTTTTGTAACAATAGAGTACTGGATTCAACAGGACAGCAATCAAAGAAAGAACATGTTCTATTTAGCAAAAGCTCAGGACAGGAAAGATAATGGCAAGTCCTAAGAAATGTCCAAGTTTGCAACAGATGAATTAGAGAATTAAGAGTGAAATGGGTGGAGATCAAGCTAGCAAAACAGACTGCAACCATCCTGTCAAGTGCTTGCTATAATCTTACTAAGTATGGACTTTATCATTTGGATGTTTAAAAAACCACTAGAAGTTTCTAAGCAAGGAGCTGACACAATTCAATTTAAATTGTATAATGATGCCATTGTTAAGTGGATAGACTGGGTAAGAAGATAATCAGAAGATTATTTCAAGAGAACCTGGCCAGGCACTGTGGCTTGCACCTGTAATCCCAGCATGTTGGGAGGCCAAGGCCAGAGGACTGCTTGAGGCTAAAAGTTTGAGACCAGTCTAAGCAACACAGTGATTTTTACAAATTAACAAACAGGCCGGGCGCGGTGGCTCAAGTCTGTAATCCCAGCACTTTGGGAGGCCAGGACGGGCGGATCACGAGGTCAGGAGATCGAGACCATCCTGGGTAACACAGTGAAACCCCGTCTCTACTAAAAATACAAAAACTTAGCCGGGCGAGGTGGCAGGCGCCTGTAGTCCCAGCTACTCGGGAGGCTGAGGCAGGAGAATGGCATGAACCCGGGAGGCGGAGCTTGCAGTGAGCTGAGATCCGGCCACTGCACTCCAGCCTGGGTGACAGAGCGAGACTCCGTCTCAAAAAAAAAAAAAAAAAAAAAAATGAACAAACAGAGAGAGATGATCTGAATTTCAGTAAGTGAAATCTCCACGAAAGATTTTTACAATTAAAAGAGAGAATCTGAATTTCAATGAGTGCTAAGAAAGAGCGCCCAAGATTTGTCAATGGGTGGGTGGGTGAGAATGTTTAAGAATAAGGCAAAGTTAGGGAGAACAGTGTTGTCAATTACTGCAAATCTAAGAATAAATTGTGGGAAAAGGAGAAATTAGGGACACATTGTATATGAGGATATGTAACAAATACTGAGAGTTTACACGTAGACATATAAGTCTGAACTAGAACTAAAGATTTGGTAGTCATAACAGTAACAAAATGACTACCAAGGAATATGGTGAACAAGAAAAAGAACCAAACAGAGAAAAAAAGGCTGAGATGCTGATATGTAAGAAGCAGGAAGGAACAGAAATAGGCAACTGAAGGAGGGTAGTATCACAGAAGCCAGAGGAAGAATTTCAAAAAGGAGTTTAAAAGTGTTAAATGTACAAAGGTGACATGGGATAAATACTTTCAAAGGGCCATCAGAATTCTAACTGACAAGGATTTTTAAAATAAAGTTTTCTGTGAGCAAACTGTCAAAATTATAGGAACTTAAAAAACCAAAATGTCCTCTGGAAAATATAATAACTATAGCATTAATTCAGATTTCATCTCTCAGTTATTTCTCTTTGCAAATTTAATTCTGTCACAGGGTAAATCCGACATGTTATTTATAAATGTTGGTACAAACCATCTTGACCGAATTTGACATCTGGAACAAGCATTAATCTGACACATTATGTACTGTATGATATATAAAGTATATGGCTGAATAACAAGGAAAATTCAAATAACATGCATAGTACATACGCATGTATTACAAACATATAACATGTAATATACGAAAATTTCAAACAACATGTATTGATAGTTTAGCTTCTGCTCAACTATAAATATTAATCTATATTAATCTAGATTTTAAGGGGGCTACAAGTTCTTTTTTAGGATTCTTTAAAATCACACTGTAGTTCAAGGAGAGGGGAAATCAGAAACAAAAGAAATTCAACTATTTGAGCCCTTTGCCAACAAATTAAATAATGTGAATTAACGTATCAAGCCTCTCCTAAACCCACAGGACATTTAAAAGTGCATCAACACTTACTAATGGTCTGCTAATGGATTTACCCGTGACAATTTATTTACTGCGTTTTAATTTCCTTAGACTCTTAAAACATACTATGAAGTACAAGTTTCAGACTGTGAATGGTCTATGCAAATTTCATCACACTGCTTATGTTGTGTCACACCTTCTAAGTAGCTGTTCTTAAAATTTTTCTGTAACTTTTTAAACATGCTGTGATTATTGACACTGAGTTGGATAAACACAATTTGGGCTGCAATGTTTAACTTCCACTCCTCAGACTTAAGGTCCAATTCAGACATTAACACTCCTTATCTTATGGCCCACAACTTAATTTTCTAATCGCAAATTGAAACCAATAATGAAATGTTATACAGAATTAGTTTTAAAATATCTCTATTCCTATTAAGTATTAAGAGAAAACTGAGACGATTTATAAACTGTCAAGACAATGATCACAAAAACAGAAAATTGAAGAGACAGTTATTTGACTTTAAAAAATTACTTAAACCATTATTGTTACACATTAAGCACCTGACTTAATCCAGAGGCAAGAAACAGTTCTGAGGCTGGATAATTATAAATTAAAGAAAAAAGCTAAATATTGCTAACTCTACACCTAACTCTACACAGAAACATTCTAAAAGACTTTTTAAAAAATTTATAATTCGGAGACTTATAAGCCAAAGGAAATAATGTAATATATAAGAAACTTAGAAACTATAGTTCAACGTGCAGCATCTAGTAATAATGGCATACCTTTTCTTTCTGTTTTCTGTGCAGGGACAGAAGATGTGGGTGTAGGCAGTTTTGATAAAGTAGATGCTCCATTAGCATCAAATGATTTCTTTGGCTGGTGATCAGACTGTAGCGTAAATGGACTAGAAGGAACAGTGCTTGGGGTAGCAGTTGGATGAACCACTGGTTTGATGGGGTGCTGTACTGGCGTAGAACTACTGTGAGTCTCTGCTCTTGGCAGTCTGTAGTCTCTGTCATTGTGTCTGCTTGTTTGAGACAAAATATTCTGTGGGAGCAAACTACTGGCATCACTGGAATGCTTGTCTTCCACTTTAGTTCACAGTTCGAAAAAACAGATGTTGGAATGACAGAAGGGGGAAGAAAAAAGATTACATTAGAATCCTACCTTTAACATCAGCTAATTCAGCAACATACTTGTACTTACATATTCTTTTATAAAACTGCAAACCCAGTTAGTGTCTGCAGTTTACCACTGGCATGTAAATATGCAATACTGGAAGAAGAGGAGTTTTTGCTCAACTATAAATATTCATCTATACTCATATTTCAAGGGGGCTACACATTTTTTAAGGATTCCTTAGAATCACACTGTAGTTCAAACAAAACATACCAAAAACAACAACAACAACAAAAATCAACATATGGAGTTATAATACCGTCTCATAAAAATTTTTAAATTGTTTTAAAAGCAGAAAAAATAAATGCTTCATTGTTTTACACTATGGGTCATAGATTTTAATAACTGAATTATTCACAGTGGTTCGACTGCAAAGGAATATTAGGCTTTATTAGCCTGGTCTTTCTAAATACTACATTAGCTAATTAGTTGCCTCTAAAGCAGTTTATACGAAGGCTTAAATGAAATCATTTTAAGATGACTGAAGTTATGACGAACTGTGAATACAGTAAGTAAACCAATCTGTAGTATTTTTAGTAATGTTACAAATAACCAGAGAGTTAGTAATAAAATCATGATGCATAATGCTATTTGAAAATAGAAGTCCAACACCCACAGCACAGTCAGAACAATCTACTTATCGCTAGGTGTATTAAAAACAAATCCTCTTTCAATTTAAAGCCACAAAAATACTTTAAGCTCAGAAATACTGAAAACAGTTTAAAATCTATCAACAATTTAAATAGCCACAAAAATACTTTAAGCTCAGAAATACTGAAAACAGTTTAAAATCTATCAACAATTTAAATTCTAACACCATGATTCCTCAAAACAGTACAAAAGAAGGAAAATTTCAACGATCATGTTAAAGTTCATTCGAAGTGTTCAATCTAAATTACAATATTCCCAACAATAACTAAAGAACTAAAATAACCTCCAAGGAGAGAAATAACCTCCAAGGAGAGAAATGACCTAAAATCTAAGCATGTGATGTACAATAATTTTACTAAAGTATGCCCTCTCTGTTGATTATTGCATTGTTTTTTCCAATTTACAGCTCCTCCAATTATAAAGACCAAGACAAAACAACGAAGGAGGAACATTCAAACTAGAAGTCAGTTTCAAAGTTGTCAGTACACAACCGCTACATGGTACACCACAACAAAAAGTACCGGAATACCATCCAAAAAAACAATCACATCAAAGCACAAGGTCTTCTGACAATGACTTAATATATAAAATTTAGTGTTATAAAGGATACAATATAAAAATCTACAAAAATGAACAGAATACAAACATCTGTTGTATGACAGTAATATATCAGTAAGCTATCAACTTGCATGAATATAAAATTTTAAAAATTTTATTCTACAGTTTCTACCTGCAATGAGGATACTACTAAGACAGAAACCTTTAGGGACAGACATAATAGGATAATATCATGCCCAACCCTGTATACAATTTTTATTTCCTCAACCAAGAAAACTTCCTTTCAGTTCTATAGGGCTAGTCAAAATGTATCAAGCACAGGTACTCCAATGGAAATTAAGGATGATACTCCTAACATTTTTAAGTTAAAAAGCAAAAAGGGCAGCAGCATTACAGGAACGGGGGAAGCTATAGCTATAACAGCTTTCTATACTTACAACTCTAAATAAACACAGTTAAAGCAGTACCTATTTGCCACCCTCCCAGAGCGCAGTGCTTTGCTTGTCCTGACTGGAGAGAGGGGAGGTATGCTACTGGCATCTAGTGAGGAGAGGCCAGTTTTGGTGTTCAATAACCTACAAAACAGGAAAGCCTTCCATAACAAACAATTACTTCACCCAAAACGTCATTAGTGCTTCTGTTGAGAAAGGTGTCTCTAAACATAGAGCCATCAACATATAAAGCACAGATTCGCAAAAATAAAAATTAGTAGCAGTTAATAGCAAATTAAAAATTTTATCCATATAATTTTCAGCATCAGGTTGTGGAGAATATTAACATTTGATAAAATATTTTATGTTTTTTGGTTTTTTTTGAGACAGTCTCACTCTGTCACCCAGGCTGTAGTGCAACAGCACGAATCTTGCCTCACTGAAATCTCTGCCTGCCTCAGCCTCCCAAGTGACTGGGATTACAGGTGTGCACCACCATACTCAGCTAATTTTTGTATTTTTAGTACAGACGGGGTTTTGCCACATCGGCCAGGCTGGTCTCAAACTCGACCTCTGATGATCTACCCGACTCGGCCTCTCAAAGTGCTGGGATTACAGGCATGAGCCACCATGCCCAGCCTTTGTTAAAATATTTTAGTGCTTTACAAACACTTAATATATTGCAAAAAAACAAAAACAACGAAAACCTCATTAAAACCTACTTTATCTCTTTACATGTAAAAATCTTCCCAATCCTTCCCCCTCTGCCATCCCCTAAAGTTTTTTTTATTGGTAGTCAAGAACAAGCTTTAAGCCACACTCTACACAAATACCAATATACTCAACACAAGGGAACACTCTGCCAACATGTTTCTGATAGACTAAGTTAAACACTTGAATGGCTTATTGACTTTATTACTAAGTTGACCAATCTTTAAAAAAAGCAACACAGCTAAGGTTCTTTCTCAAACACTACCTAACTCAAAAAAAGTGTGAAACACGACTACATTTCAACACAAGCACAGACACAATGACTCATCATTTGCCTATCTAGGAATTTAAGTGAAGGCAGTAATCAGACAAGTGGGCAGATATGAATCATAATCTTGTTTATAGTAGGGAAAGGCTGAAAACTTCCCAAGTATTCATTGATAGGGGATTATTTATTGATGAAAGTTTACCTATGCAATCAATATAACAAATGCAGAATTATAAACAGACATAAAAACATATTCCTGATACATTACTGAATAACAGGTAAAAAACAGTAATATAGAATCCCATTTTTGAAATACATACATATGTAATTTGTATACACATTTATAAGCATACAGAAAAAAGTATATATTCCAAAATGTTTCAGGGTCATGGAATTTAAACGTTTTACCTAATTATTTACAAATATGGCATACTTTTGAAATCATGAAGAAAAACAAGTTACTATTTTTATACTTATCTAATACTTTTTTTTTTTTGTAGACTCAGAGTCTTGCTCTGTCGCCCAAGCTGGAGTACAGTGGTGAAATCTCAGCTCACAGCAACCTCCGCCTCCTGGGTTCAATCGATTCTTCTGACTCAGCCTCCTGAGTGGCTGGGATTACAGGGCGCACCACCACACCCAGCTAATTTTTGTATTTTAGTAGAGACGGGGTTTCACCATGTTGGCCAGGATGGGCTCGATCTCTTGACTTCGTGATGCGCCTGCCTCGGCCTCCCAAAGTGCTGGGATTACAGGCGTGAGCCACCGCGCCCAGCCATCTGTCACTCATTTTCTATGCATCCCCTACCCTGCAATATGTTCAAAAAACCCACAAGCTGGGTGTAACTTGTTTATGTCTAGAGGAAAACCTCTCTCTCATTTTTAATTGACAAAAGTCAGTTAATTAAGATATAAAAAGAAATGGGACTAGAATCTAATTCTTCCACCTCAAAATTCAATGTTCAAAATTCAATGTTCTTCAATATGCCAACTTCAGTACTTTATATCATTTAAAAAATTATATACGATTTCACTGATTTAAAAATTTATTATTTCACACTTAATCCTGCAGATCTGTTACTGTTTCATCTTAAATATTGTCTCCCATCAAAAACTCAATAATCCCTCTGAGACCAAACACACCCCCCAACTTTTTGGTTTGAGTTACAGGAACAGAACTGAAACACTGAAGTTTAAGAATTCCCAGAAAACATCACCTTGAAATTCCTCCCAAAATTGCAAAACGAATCCTAGACGTCTACGTGACAGTTAAATATTTTTAATTTTTTTTTTTTTGAGACATAGTCTGACTCTGTTGCCAGGCTAGAGTGCAGTGGCAAGATCATAGCTCTCTGAAGACCCAAACTCCAAGGCTCAAGTCATCTTCTTGCCTCAGCCTCCCAAGTGGCTGGGACTACAGCTGAGTGGTTAATTTTTAATTCTGTGGATACTGGGTCTTGCCATGTTGCATAGGCCAGTCTCAAACTCTTGGCCTCAAGCCATCCTCCTGCCTCGGCCTCCCAAAAGGCTGGGATTGCAGCAGGCATGAGCCACAGCACCGGGAGTAAATTTGATTCAAGGTAAGGGAAGCCAGTGGAAATAGAGTACCTTTAATAAAGCTTCAAATTTGGAGAATGAATTACAAAACAAATGTATGGGATACAAAATTGTCCCACTAGCACAAAATCTGGCCTCAGAAGAACAATGAAGTATGCCCACAGTTTGATTTATAGATGAAGACCACCTTAGAACAAAATGGCTTAAGTTTTCTATTAGACATTTTTAAATTGTGTGCAAATTCAAACTAGAGATGTTACACAGATCTATGATCATGGTGAAATTTGTTTCTAAATACAAGGATAAACAAGTTACTCACTGGTAACATAAACAAACAAACAAAAAACAGTAGCTACTCTGATGTCACTTGTGTGTGGCTACGATTCAATTATTAGACTAAAACCTGATGAGATCTGTGTCCAGTTTAATAGGACACAACTTAAGGGCAGGCAGGTAGGGTGGGAGAGGAAGCTCCTGTTTGGGGGGATCAGGGGAAACCAATCTAAAACAAAATTCTACTGTTTGCAATTCAGCTCCATTATAGCCATAATGCGCAGCAGGAAACACATACGTATGCTACTCTACCATGTATCTTTTCCCTTTTCGGGGACCAAAATGGTGGCGGGTAGGGGATAATAAATCCAACGTAAAAGAATCTCTACATGTTTCTATTTATTTTAATTTACATATGTAGATGGCGATGGACACAGATTTGAAAAATAAATAATACGAATAAATCAAACATACATTTCAAAGAAAAAAAATTAATACTTACTTCCACTGGCAAACCCACTAGTGGCTGTTGCTTGCATCACCTCTCTTCTGTAATCTCTATCTTTTGGGAAGCTGTTGACTGCCATCTTGTTTGCTTCTTTTTGTCTCTGTTCTCTAAAAATAAAAAAAGTAAGATAAACACATAAAAATTACATCGAGGGCATGAGTTTCCATAATAAACAGCTCTGGCCAAATGCCTAACAAACGGTTATATAAAAAACAAAAGCAGTGAACATGGTCATAATTTAACTGGTGTGGGAGATGGAACGTGGCAAAGAGAAACACTAATGTTTCTCACTAATGGCAAAACTATACCAATTAATTATACCACTAACGCCATAACCAAAGCTCATCAATTTTAATTCTACATGTGAAAGAAACATTATGGTCTTGTTAAGCTATTAATATTTCCATCAAAATTAAAGATGCATAAATGTAGGTAAGTATTTTATTAATTATACTGACTATTCAAAAGGCCTTTGTGGACAGCTGCCTAGCTGTCCTAAAATTTTTCTTTTTTTTTGGAGATAGCATCTTGCTCTATTGCTCAGGTTGGAGTGCAGTGGCACCATCATGGCTCACTGCAGCTGTGGCCTCTAGGCTGAAGCCATTTTCCCACCTCAGCCTCCTCAGTAGCTGGAACTACAAGTGCATGCTACCACTCACAGCTAACTTTTTGTAGAGACAGGGTCTCACTATGTGCCAGGGCTGGCCTCAAACTCCTGGGCTCAATCAATCCTCCAGTCTTGGCCTCCCAAAGTGCTGGGATTACTGGCACAAGCCACTGCACCCGGCCAGGTTTTTGTTTTTAAAAGTAAAGACAAATTATGGAAAAAATGATGGGGCAACCAACCACTGCAACTAAAAAGTGTAGATGGGTAGCACCATAAAAAAGCTAAATTAGAATGTTTAATGCTGGAAGATGTTAACCTGTAGAACCAAGCTAGAGAAATAACGTTTAATTAGATTAAAAGCTAATTACCTTTCAAGCCACTCTTTTGGTTTTTCCCACTGTGAAACTTCTGTTCGACAATTGTAGTAGTACTTTTTCCCAGAAGAGCTAATATGCTCAGACCAGTCATCTGCAGAATCATAAGGCTTAAAAATATATTTTTTACAATTAGAAAATGTTAATACTATGTAATCACATGAAATATCAAGAACATCAAAGCACACATACAGGAAAACACTTATGAGATAAAGGTACTCTGAACTAGAATGCAATTATCTGCATAAGTATTTATAAGACCTTAGTTTATGAAAGGCTTCAAAGAATAGAACTTCATAAAATACCAAAATTAAGTAGCATAAAAATTAGATTGTTAGACAAAGAAAACTGTGAAATTAACATCACCTTGATTTTAGAAAGCATGACAAAATCCCCCACAATTTTAACTGTTGAAATCCAGTAACATGGGGGTGAGGAATGCACTCTAGACTAGATGATGGCGTGAGATCGTCAGTTCTAAATTCTAAGGCACAATAATAATTACATATGGTATAAAAGAGAACAATCTTGCCTGTATTAACTGTTACTTAGTGACAAAAGGAACCAAAATATGTAAACATAAACAGAAAGCTAATTAAAAGCTATAAATTTGTTTCACCTTCAAAATCGACAAGATGGATCAGGTACACATAACTAAAATCTTGTTCTCATGTAATATACAGGATTAGCAGTATCACTCATATTCCCATAACTAAAAATGGTCTTTCAAACATTCTCAGATACAGTCTCTTCCAGGTATTTTTACAGGCAATGTAACATCATAATGAAATTAGAAACATCAGAAAGGCCCAGTTTCCATGAAAAGAATCTCACAAAGATTAGTTAAGTTTCTGATTGGCCCCAGGAAATCTGGTAGAATCTCAAGTACCTTGGTTGAATTCCTTAATTAGTTTTTCAAAGGAGCTTACTGAAACAACATTGATTATATTTTGTCAAATAGCTAGAAAAGAGGATTTTGAGTGTTCCCAACACAAATGTTGGAGATGACAGACACACAAATTACTGATTTGAACATTATTAAATATACTGAATGTATCGAAACATCACCATATATCCCATAAATATGTACAATTGTCAATTTAGAAAAATAAAAAAAATTTTAAAAATATTAAACCACTTGAAAAAAGTAAAATGAAATAATGTACTATACTATCATAGCCTATCCTTCCAGGTTCACTGTATTGTGATACAATTTTCAAGCCTGAGGAAACAGTCTTATTCACTACCTTACCCTTGGCCCAGCTTTAATTTTAACAACTAGGAAACAAGCTGAGACAACATATAGACTTAAGAGCTGTCTATAGCTCACAAAAATAGTGATTTATCAAAGGACAAAAGACTCTGGTTTCCAAAGGCCTATTATTTCCACTAAATTAAAACCAAATTCTGGAAATTCCCCTAATAATTCTCACGGCAGTTGGAAAAAGATCACAGACTCTGTCATATATTTATATGCTCACGTTTACATCTCAAAATAATGAGGGTGGCAAAGCAGTCCTGTACCCCCACACCTCAAAAAGCAGTGGAGAGTTAATTCTCAATCCCACTAGCTTCCAGAAGCCTACAATCAAGCTTTAGGAACCCAATCACAAAGGGCCAAATTCAGAAAGTTCTTCTCTACCACCCCCTCCTCCCTATACATAAATTATTATGCAACTGATCCCTTCTACGGATGTTATCTGGAAGATTTGGTTTGCTTGCCAAGTGGTTATGTGGAATTACTGGATTGAAGAGGTACAATGAGATTTGAGACTAGTGGACAGAGGACACCAGAGGTCAGCATGGTCTAGGCCAGTGCTCTTCCAAGTGATGGTTTGCCAACTTATCCTGGAGGAAATAAGGAGTTTGCATTTGAATATATAAACATACTGTTTCTTTCACAGAAGTTGTGCTTTAAGAGAAAAAAAAAAAAAGTCAGCTGAACTAAACATTGTATTTAAGTGATTAACATTCTGGCACAACCTCCAGGACAGAAAGTTCACAATCAGAGCACTGGTCTACCACGCTACATTGATTTTGCCTATCAAATTGTAGATTAGTTCAAGCTGATGTCTTACACTTAACAAAATTCCAGGGTAAAGCATACAATCACATATCAACAACTTTATTTTCTCCACCCCACTGCCATCCTCAAGGGGTTAAGGAAAAAGAAACCCTTCAAATTATGGGATAACTTTTACAATCCTGATGTGCAACAGCAGGTGTCAAATTTCTTAACTTTACAAAAAGAATATCTAACATTGAGAACTTAAACAAAAGGCCTGCAAACATTTAAAGTTTTCTAGATTTGGCCTGGGATGGTTGCCAACATACGCTCTAAAGCAGCTCTCCAAGTGTTATCCAGGAAACCTTGGGGAACCCCAAGACCCTTTCACAAGACCAAAACTATTTTCATAATAATACTAACATGATTTTTTTCTTCCTCGTTTTATCACAAGCATACAGTGAAGTTTACCCAGAGGCTCAACAAAACACTGGATGTATCACAACAGATTGAATGAAGCAGCAGATAGGAAGTTATGAAATTCTAAGTGTCTTTTTCTATTAAGTCAAATATTACCAAGATGTTCAATATCTATTTTTTTAAAAATTAGTTACTTTTCATAAAGATGTTACATATGTTACCATATAATGGGTTTACAATTGATATTTTAAATGAAATATTAAAATTTCACAGTTTTAATTTTTAATATGGTAGATATTGATGAGACTCAAACTTTTTCTTTCTGTTTTTCCCCAAGATGAGGTCTTGCTATACTCTGCCCAGGCTGGTTTTTAACTCCTGGGCTCAAGTGATCTTCCCTCCTCAGTCTCCCGAGTAGCCAGGACTACAAGTGACAAGCACCTCTCCTGGCTCAAGACTCAAAAGCTTCAAAGTATGCAGATGATACTTAGTTGATAACAAAAGGAGCTGGAATAGGAATGCAAACTCATACAGGATTGAACTTAAGCACATCTCGGCAAATTAAAATTGGCATAGAGTATTTAGAAGGGAAAATCTCAATTACAGTGTTTTTAAATAAAAATAAGCAATATTTTTTCAGCAATTCACAGCCCCCTTTGAAAAAATCAAATATGCACGACTAATTTGGTCTACAAGTCATACCATGATTTTTTATTTTACCTATTTTTTTTTTTTTTTTTTTTTGAGACAGGGTCTTGCTGTCGGCCAGGCTGGAAGTGCAGTGGTGCAATCATAGCTCACTGCAGCAGCCTCAACCTTCTGGGCTCAAGCAATGCTTTGCTTCAGCCTTCCAAGTAGTTGGGACCACAGGAACACACCACCACACTTAGCTAATTTTTTTTTTTTAAGAGACAGGAGCTTCCTATGTTGCCCAGGCTGGTTTTAAACTCCAAGCCTCCAGTGACGCTCCTGCCTTGGCATTCCAAAGTGCTGGGATTACAGTTGTGAGCCACTGCAACATTCCCATGATTTTTATTGTGAAGGAGGCATTCACCAATCTTTTCCTGATCTTTACCAGAAGTCAGGCTCTGTGGTAAACACCCCACAATAAATGTTTGTCATAGGACTTAGCAGGAAGTACATTAAATGTCAACGCCTTAATCTGATACTGAAAATAAAAGATAATTTAAACTGGGCTTTTAATAGTTAACTTGATTAAAAAAAAAAATCACCCACATACCCAAGTATCTGTGTAGATAACTCTAAAGCCAACTTTTCAAGTAAGATTAAATTTACAGTTTCTAAGGGCTGTTTGTGTCATTTCCACTAGGTACATTATAATACAAAAGACCACTACTTATAAGTTAATTATGTACCTACAGGTGAAATCAACAGAAACCAAAACCCGGATTCCAGAAACACAAAACATATCTGTTCTAGTAATGGTCTTCAACTTTCACTCACATAATTAAGTTCCCTGACACCCTTATGATTTGAATCATTCAAGCTTCTCTGATGCCCACTATTCATTCTTTCTGATTTCACTGGGTTAAACCCACTGCTCTAAAATCCAAATAATCAAAATCTGTCTTCCCTGAATGAGGTGTTTGTTTTGTTTGCATTTGTGTTTTACGAAAAAAACAATGCCCACAAGGGCTGCTGCAGTAAGAGTAGACAAATAGCAAACCTAAACTGTCAATGACAAGTGGAACTTCAGGTGTTACTTTGTAAATTAATAGAATGTTTTCCAGGAAAACAGGCAGATTCATTCTAAAATCCTGAATATACATCTCACTGAAAATGATTTGCTCCCCTTTCTCCCCACTCGGCCTAATCCTCCCTTCCCTACTTGAAGAAAAAAAAAAAAGGAAAAAGGAAATGCCTCATCACAAATAGTTTGACGATAGTATGCATGAAGTACTTAGCAAGACTGTTTTCTCAGTCTCAATCCCACCCCCTAGGATAGTCCGCTCTGTGATGCTAGGGCTGGGACAGTGCAAATTACTCTCTATTTAGCCAGGTGGCTTCCTTCCTGTTAGAAGCATTAATTAGATGAATGAAAGGTAGGAGAAAGGATCAGCCACAGTTGTTACCAGCACTGGACTACCATCCCACCACTAGAACTAGCTTCACCATACCCTCAGAGGTATTACCACGAGCTCTGTGGGGCTCCTCCTCTAGACTAGTAGGTTCTAAAACCCCAAATTCATCCTGTTGTTCCATAGCCCTGAGTGGTGATTACTGTATGTGTTACCTCAGGGTTCCTCCTTTTTTTTCAGTATCTGCTTAACCAATCCCATATATTTAATTCTGTGTTACAACAACATGATTTTCCTTTCTTTTTTGAGACAGAGTTTTGTTCTGTCGCCCAGGCTGGAATGCAATGGCGTGATCTTGGCTCACTGCAACCTCCGCCTCCCAGGTTCAAGTAATTCTCCTGCCTCAGCCTCCCAAGTAGCTGGGATTCCAGGTGCTTGCCACCACACCAGGATAATTGTTGTAATTATAGTAGAGACGGGTTTCACCAGGTTGGCCAGGCTAGTCTTGAACTGCTGACCTCAAGTGATCCACCCGCCTTGGCCTCCCAAGTGCTGGGATTACAGGAGTAAGCCACCGTGCCTGGCCACTAGTGAAGTGCCTGGCCAACAGTATAATTTTCTAAATGAACACTAATACTATCTAATTTTATCCAAATATTATCCTAATGTCTCAATTTTCTATGGAAATGTACTATTCACACTGCTTCAAAAAGAAACAAAAAAATCTGAAGGTTTTTCAACGTCAATTAAGACACGATGATCACTCAAATACTCAAAGTAAAATCTGCTGGACTCAACCTACACCTCTGACGGCGTTCTCATTGTTTGTTCTTTCCCTATCATGTATTTTCCACACTGTTACCGGAGATAATTTTTTAAATTGCAAATATGATCTTATTTTACTGATAATATCCTTCAATACCTCTCCACTGCCTTATACATGTCTAATTAATATTCCTTGGCATGACATAGAACTTCTCATGATATGCCTCCCACTTACCTCTGTAAATTTAGCTCCTGCCATTTTCCCACACCGTCAAAATCCCAGCAGTTCTCTAAATGTGCTACACTATTTTACACTTCTACATCGTTAGGAGCTCTATTCCTTTGTATGCTATGAATTCCAGAGCTCGTTTACTGCCTAAGTTATAGTCAGACTGTTGGGAAGTATTAGTTATAGTTTACTATCTTCCTCACCCAAGCTGGGAGTCCTGTGTTGAGTGCCACCCCAAAGCAACTTTAACAGGCACTGCTGTTTACTTTTCTGTCTCTACCGCAGGTCCCAAATTTCCTTTAAGATGGGCCATATTCTATAATATATTCAGCTTAGCATATGCCTGGTGAATTAAAACCTTATTCTATGGTGAATTAAAAATTTCATTGAAACCTATGACTTAAAAAATTCAAAATAAGTTAATGTCATTAACCTAAACTTCTGAAAATATTTAAAATCCCTCACTGGGTTTCACGCCCTTGTGGACAGGTAACTGTATATCCCTAGTGTCTGGGAGAGTGTGTAAGACACAGTAGATAATAAATATATCCTATAAGGAGTTTACACACTATGGAAAGAAAGCTTAAGTTAGACCACTTTATAAGAAGTTTCAGCCTGAAGTTATTTTTATCTCAGATATCACAATGGAAAAACATTGCTTTGTACAGGAATCCTAATTAAGTAATACCAAAGATACTAGCTTCTCACAACGCTCAGTTCCATTAAAAAGACTGGCTCATTGGTTTAAAATAGGATAATGATATCAAGTAAACACATTAAGACTGTGATTCAAACTTTTTAAGACATTAGATTTTACAAGACTTCCCATGGGTTTTGTTTTGTTTTTTGTTTTTGTTTTTGCAATAAATTTCAAAGAAAAAATATTGGACATGTTTATAATACTTACTGCATCTGAAGTTTTGCTCGGGTTATTGCTTGGATTAGAAGAATGTGAATTTGAACTATGAAGAGCACTGTGGTTGTGTGAATTTTCTTGTGGAGAGTAACTGGTCCCTTAAGAAAATAAAGAATACAGTGAATTACAAGTAAACTGTATTTAATGTTTAATCTAAACTGTTTTCTATCATACATTATTGTATATCTCTAAATGAACATCTCACATAAGCATTAGGAATATATACACAGTCATACTTTTTATAGTATATAAAGTATCTGTGAACCTACTAAAGAAGTGGCTTTATATGCCCTGGAACAACAGCATATAACAAAACCTTTTTGAGTGAGAGAAACAAAACCTTATCTTTATCATTTGCAGCAACTTCTGGGTTTTCTTAAAGTTTTATTGGAGAAAAATAGAAGTACAACGTGCACAGAAAAAAGGCACAAGAACTCAAATGATACAGAACTAAAAGTCACTGTTATCAGTATGTTTTTGCAACTGTATTTCAATTTCTTAATAGTTTCCCCTATTTGCCTTTTAATAGCTTTGCCAATTTTTCAAATAAAACAGCATCAACTTTTTTCAAGAAGTTAAAGAGTCTTAGGGAAGGTGCTCACTTATAAGATGATAAAGATGATCAAGAGTCTTTTCCTAACAGGTCCAACTCTATCTAAAAATTGCTTAAGAGTAACTCAGGTTTTATGAAAATCTGTATATGCCAGTGACCAGAGAAAAAAGTTTCTCTTGCTTTAAGAAAAACCAGGGTGTAAAAATCCAGACTTGCAAAAACACTTTGACGAATGACACAAAAAGGTTCACCACAGAAGTCTAATGTTAGTATTTCAATTTCATTCCACATAATTCTAGATTTTTCAGCAACAAAGTAACATAATCGAACTGGTATTTTTTTTTTAATAAGTGATCTGGGAGTGGCATGGAGGCTACACTATTATGAACAAAAACGAAAAGTGCAGAGAGCAATTTAAATGCTGCAGTGGTCCAGGAATTATTAGTGAGAACCAGGGTGGATAAATGTAGAAATGAGTTAGGAATATTATTTCAATCAATAGAAACAACTAAATGGTAAGAGCAAAGGTGAACTCAGATAGATGATGACTATAAGGTTTTAGATATCCAAGTGAAAATGGTCCACAGATTAATATAGAACTAGGAATTCAGAAGAAAAGGTTTAAGTAGATGTGGATTTGGAAGTGTTTTCTGTTACAGGTCAAAGGTAGGAGAGGGACTAACTGCTTTGTGTGTAAGCAGCAAGCACTAAAAGTTCATGGATGAAGTAAGAGTATGGAAGGAAAAACGGCAATGGCCAAGATTTACCCTCAGATAAGGGTCTGCTTACAATGGAAACTATAAGCAGATTCAAAGACCCAAGAAAGCTAGTTATGTCACAAACTATCAAAGAGAATTACCTAACTACAATGGTTACTTAAGAACAACGTAGGTGGTATGACAGAGGACATTTCCTAAGAAGCCTGATGCTTGAGACGCCTGATGCGTTCTTCTACTTATTTTGATTTATCTTGCTGTACAGTATTATATTTATATATAGAGAACACCCTAAAACCCCCTTGTAATAACAGGAAGCAAGAAATAAATCCTCAATAAAAGCTCTAAGAATGAACACAATCAAGAAGAAATCAGTCAAAAATAAGGTGAACACTTTGGGAGGCCGAGGTGGGTGGATTACCTGAGGTCCAGGAATTTCGAGACCAGCCTGACCAACATGGTAAAACCCCATCTCTACTAAAAATACACAAGTTAGCTGGACGTGGTGGTTATGTGCCTGCAGTCCCAGCTACTCGGCAGGCTGAGGCAGGAGAATCACTTGAACCTGGGGAGTAGGTTGCAGTGAGCTGAGATCGTGCCACTGCACTCCAGCCTGGGCGACAGAGCAAGACTCTGTCTCAAAAAAAAAAAAAGAAAATGAAAAAAGAAAAGAAAAAGGGGAAAAAAAAAAAAAAGACTGAGTATGCAGGAAAAGTTAGCAGAAGCCCAGAGACTGCTATCTTTAGAAAGGCTTTCTGGCACAGCTGGCCCTTGACAGACATGTGGGAAGCTAAATTTCCGGAGGGATCTCACAACCGTAACTGATAAAGAGGTGAAAGAGGTGCTCACTGAGGCCAAGCACAGTGGCTTGCACCTGTAGTCTCAGACTAGGCAGAGGCAGGGGAATCCCTTGAGTCCAGGAATTCAAGACCAGCCTGGGTGACATAATGAGAACCTGTCTTCAAAGGAAAAAAAAAAAAAGAATTGTTCATTGTACCTAAGCTGTTTGGGTATATAGTATGTTTTGTACTGAACAGCTGCTTTCCTACTGGAGTCTGAAATTTTGGTACATGCAAGGCGAAGAGTACATATATAACTCACCAAATCCAGTAAAAGCGGTGCACACTAAATCTCTAGTGAGCGTCCCTGGTAGACAACATTCCACAAGTGTGTCAATTTGTTGCTGGAGGAATTAAGTGCATCCTGTATCACTCTCTTAGGCAAGAATTCTTGGAAGCTTACACCTGGATTCCTTCAGATTTTGCCCCATGTGCCTTTTCTCTTTGCACCTGTCCACTGTAGTAAGTCACAGTCATAATAATGACTATGTTGAGTCCTGAGAGTCTGAGAGACTCACCAAACCTCACAAATGGTTTTAGGATCCCAAAATGCTTAGTAACAAAGGAAAATTAACACTTCAAGTTTTAAAGAAAATATGAGATCTATGCTGAAATTTCTACTTTTCAGATATAACTCCGAAGATTTTTTTAAAATCAGATTTACAACTGAATATAAGAAAGAAGTAGAAATAGTAATATGGATTACTAGAATATATATGCACTACTCGCAGAGCTGAGATTTCCCTGAAATTTCCCTAAGTTTGTCGACAGTGATGGGAAAAAAGCTAATCTTACTGACTGAAATAAACCCCAGAGTAATCCATTAAAAAGCCTGGTTTAGATACCCCACTCTGACATTTATTTGCACACATTCTTGAACGTATGTTCTATGCTTAAATCTACGAAATGGAAGTGCCACATTAAAGGTTTACTGAAAGACATAACAGGTTTTCTACAAACATAAGGTGTATTATAAATGAGGTCCACTGACCTCTCATGAGGTTAAGATCCAGGAATTCACTCCACTTTAGTGACTATTCCTAAAGTCAATGAAAACTCAAATATTGACAAACATTCCAATTAATTATACTTCTAAAGAAACGGTATGCTTTCCACCAGCCTGATGGAAGTTACCAACTAACTTTTAGATCTAGTATATGTGTCTTCAGAAGGCACAGCATAATAATCAAGTCTTTATAAAGCATCAAGGCACACCGGCCTAAGACTTCTCTAAAAGAGAAAATAGAATCAGTTGTTGATGGGGAAATTATTTTCAAAGACAGGAGTTTTTTGGATAGGGACCAGATTCCACATTCTATGGAGATTTACTAAGACTGCTTACCAAAAACAAAACTTGAAATGGGTGAGAAGTAAGATAAAGACATTTTTGTAAAAGACTAAGAATAAACTAACATTCTCAAACAGATTTCAAATTTACATAAGAGGTTTTATACAAAGCATGGCAGGCAATACATCTTTAGATTCCAACCAGAAGGATGCCCTTTGGACCTGAAGGTAGCGCAGATTTGCCCCTGAATAAAATGACAATAATAAGGTAAATAAAATTAACTGTCTCATAATAAAAGCTTCAGCTTATATTACCTTACATACTTTTTTTGGTATTTCATTTGAGACTTTTACTTAACTCATTCCAAACTGAAGTAATACACAAGCAGAAGAACAAAGTGATTGTGCGCATCCTCCCCCGGGCTGGGGTAATGGTGGTTATGATTTTCTAGAGCCATACCGAAAAGAAGTGCTACAACACAAAATTCCTTTTAAATCTCCTATCTTAAAATATCACATGAATTTTTATATGTGACCCCACAAGTTTTAGATTTCTCTTATTACAATACAGAATCTAAGGCTAAGAGAAAGAATACAGTAAGACTTCTGAACATATCCAGTAAGAGAAGAACCGATGCATAAAACTTGAACTCAGAATTTCAATCCCAAATCCAGTGAGTATTCAAGTACACAAAGGAAGATAATATATACATGCTGGTGAGAGACAGAGTGCATAAAGGGTACTTTTTACTGTATAAACAGCACTGCCTCCATTCCTTCATTGGGTCACACACTGACCCAAAGAAGCAACGGAGGTAGTGCTGTTTATACAGTCAAGTACCTTTACGCACTGTGTATATTACCAAGGAAAAGCTCGTTATTTAACGACAAAAAAAATCATCTACCCAAGAAACACTGTATCAGTGAATAACTGGGATAAAAATGTTTTTAAATGCTGTACATTTAAACCAATCTCAAGAAATTAAAGCTAGGACTGATAAAGTTAAGTCTTAAAAGAGTCTAAGAAAACATGCTATTGGAAATGACTCCATTTTGGGAGAAGGGCAGGACAGATAAAGGGGTTCTATACTTAAGCTTGCAACTTGAAGAACTTAAATGGTGAGCAAAATTCTCCCTTCCAGTGCTTAACCATGGCAGATTATAAAATGGAGATGTAACAACATGACTGGATGCTAGTTTCAGACCAGAGTCCAAGGGTCGGTACAAGAGAATGACATTTTCCCTGACAAAATCTGCAGTATTTCTGACAGAATAATCCCTATCTGGCATCTTCTAAAACTTCAGAAGCTAAAATTTAAGTGTGAGAAGGACTATAACTTATAACTTATAGTTTCAAAGAGTGAGGGCCTAGGAGAATAATCAGAAAATGGTCCAAAAAAATTGATCAAAACATACCTGACTCAGCAAGAAATGGACATTAAGCAATTACAATGCCCTTCCATTTACAAAAGGGAACCAGGACATTAGGAGTAGGGAAAGCAGAGGGAGGATATACAACTCTATACGATTAAATGACAGTGGGAACGGCCATCAGCTTTCGAAAAGGTGGAACAACAGTTTTCAGTCTACTCAGGAGCAAAATATTGTGGCTTTTATGTCCTTATTCAGACCATGACAACCACCAGAATATATTACCAGATCCACAGACTTAGAAGTCTTAGTTAGTCTTTACTCTTTTTAAG